ACACATCCTTTAGAGGACAAAAAGAACAGATTTGAATGTCAACAGGATGCTCCACATGTTCAAAACTTTTTAGTCTTGAAGAAAGCTTTCATCTGCTTCTCATCCCTTAGTATTTCAAGGAGGTTTCCTTTGTTTTGAACCACTTATCTATTGCTACAAGACTTTGCCTTTGTACTGAAAAGATTCTTCCACCCTTGCAGATAGACTAATATTTAAAAGGCTCAAGTGATTGGCAGCTTTATGCTTTTTATGTAAACTAATCTCCTGACATCCCCTGATTTAAGTACAGTTTTCCCTGGCCTGCATCTTCACACTGCTTGCAATATCCTCCTTGATCTAAGTGAATGCAAAGTGAAGATAATTCAACTTTCTGTTCAGAACAGCAGCAACATTTTAGTTATGTTCCTCTTCAGTCTGTTCTGCTGCCAAAAAAGTAAAATTGAAGGTCAAAGAGCACATAGAAAGAATTCTACTTTTTTTTACTTACCTCTTCAGACTTCCTGGAAGTCGCCATATCTTCTTGAGATACACACGTATTAGGCAGAGTGTGGGAAATGGGAATATGCAGGCCACAGAAGGTGCAAAGTGGTAGATCAGAAAAAATAAATACTTATTGCACATCCTTTTGCCTTTCTGTAATGTGGTTCTGGAATTTCTCAATGAACTTTGCAAATTTATTCAGTGTTACATCACATAATTAAAATACCTTTTCTTCCAAAGTTTCCTCGCAGTGCCAGATCTCAGTCTAGAACTGTGCTCCTTCTCTTTAATCCTACTACATGACTCTTCTATCAACAGCTTTGTCTTTAGCAAATCTGTTTGCTATATTTATAGATAAAGGAAACCCTAAATGCTGTAAAATACTGAAACAATTCTAGACCAAAATTTTGAGATATACACAGTCTTTGTGCTATACTTTAATCTGACTCAGTCTGATTGTATGTAGATTTTGATGCAGTTTCACTTCTTGCTGATTGTGCAAGTTTCGAGCTGGCTTCCCGCCAAGCCCCCGAAACTCGACAACAAGGACCCGTCTCCCAGAGAGGGAAGAGAAAAGAAAGAACCCAAACAGCCAAAGCTATAGCAAATATATATATACATATATATATTTTACATATGAGACAGATACACAAAACAAGAATACCACACACCACAACTCCAGAAATCCCAAACAGCTTCCCAAAAAGGGAAGAGGGGGGAGGGAGAAGGGAGAAGGACAAAAAGGGGCAAGGACCGAGTGAGTCAACCCGCCAACCGAAGGCAAACTAGCAAAAATCTCACCACTTCCCTTTGAGCAGGCAGGATGGCTAGACACGGCCCAGGGCTCTCCCCTCATGCGTGGCAGATAACAGCAGTCACTGTAGGCCTCAGCTCCAGATAAGCCAGACCGAGACAGGGACCCACCGTTCTCGAACCTCACCGGAAAGGAAGAGAGCGAGGTCCCTCCTGCTGGCTTTATTTATACCTCAAGTTACGTAAAGGAAGAGCATGGAATACTTCCGTGATCACTTTCCTAGTTCCTTCCTGGTTACAAACTGGTCTCCAGGAAGGCCCAGAGTGAAACCACCACACTGATATAGATGATACATTTGTAATCTTAGGTAAAACTAATGGTAAATAATTACAAACTTTTTGAAGCAGCAAAATTCTACTGGATTTAATGCCTCTCATGTCCTCAAGTTTCTCTTCTCCGTGATATAAAGATAATATTCTTGTGTGATATCTGGTTTCAGAAAATAGAAGAGCTGAATACTTTATTATATTACAGTTCTCTGATACTTTCACTGTACTATTGAACCAATCATATTCACCACCAGTATTCATTTTATATGAAAAACTGAAATGTCCCATGAGTAAGTTCTGAGACCTTTTATGTGGTTACTGTTGCTAAGGAAACCACATCCTTGATATCCATGTGTCCAACATGTCAGTCTCATTTTGCATCTAGCTATCCATGAGCCAATACTGCAGTATGGAGTACAAAAAAAACCCAACAAAACATCAAAACTAAAAAAAGAGAGAGAGAGAGATGAAATACAAAATACAAAAAAAAAAAAAGCTGAAAACTGTTTCCTATCAAAATGTATTTGCACACCTGTTGGAGTTAATTCTGAGTCCTTCCATGTTACGTCTGCCTTGATTTTGATAGACAATAGTTACTTGCAATAGGCTGAAAAACAGTCTGTATAAGCTACAATAAAGGTTTCCCATAAAACAGCAAACCATATTCTGTGCTAATCATCATCAGGCAGGAAGTTGGTCCTTTCTGAAGTTCCAGTGAGGAAGATCAAGTCCAAATAGCCATTCTTGAAAATATATTTCATACAATATTCCACAGCACTGAAAATAAATGATTGGCACTACAACAGAAACACAATGCTTTCTTTCATTTTAAATCCTTAATAAACTTTAAACAAACTTTTTTTTAAATGAATTTATGTACTCATCATCATATTTACTGAACTTATAATGCAGCATGCTGAATTTTAATATACTGTAGCAACTTTTTATCTGAAAGTCTAATAGTGTTGTTCTCATGACAGCCTAAATGCTTTGGAAGCGTAAGACCACTCAGTTTCTCAGAGGGCCAAGATGCAGATTTTTGGGTACCCTGCTCCTTGAAATTCCAAGAGCACTGGGTGACTAATAGGTATTTACACTTTAAAAATCTCATTATTTTTTCAGATGTACCTACACTGACCAATGTGTCAAAGCAGTGTGTCAAAGACAACAGAACAAGCTCTAAAGAATCTACTGTATCTAAAAGCACAGTTAGGTGCTATGAAGGAATACAGCATAGCTGTGTCTGTCTGGCCTATCCCTATGCCTAGCACAATTCCTTTCTGAAACAGTGTCATTATTTTTAAAAAATATATATATAAAATATAAAAAATTTTTGGCCTGTATTGCCTACTTTTATTATCCTATGCTGTCTGGGTCTTTGGGGTCAAATATTGAGTAAGATCTGTGTTGTGCCAGTTTTCAGTTGGATTGTTAATATGGGTACGTGCTTCAAATCCTCATTTAGGGTCAGAGCACCATAGGAAAATTCAGTTTGGAAGAGACCTCAGAAGGGTTCTAGCCCAACCTTTAGCTGACAGCAGGACCAACTCTGATGTCAAGTGAGGTTGCTCAAGGCTGGTTGTGTCTCACTATGTCATGAAAACCTGGAGGATGGAGCTTGGAGGCTACTTTCCAGGTAGCTTATTTTATTACTTTACTGTATTCATGGTGAAAATGCTTTTCCTTTTCTCTTCTCTTGTTCCAGTTTAGGTCCTTGCCTCTCATCTTCCAACCAATGTGCTGCTGCGAAGAATCTGGATTAGTCTTCTTGATTACTACCCCATAGGTACACAGCGGGCTGCTGGTAGGGCTGCTGAAACTACATATTCCCCACAATGGACAAGTCCAGCTCTCTTAGTCATTTTGTGTGGGACAAGTGCTCCAGAATCTTAATGCCTTTCCTGTGCTATGGGGCCCAAAACTGCACACACTGCTCTATATGGCTGAAATATTTTTACGTGGTTACATAAATCTTAGGATTTAGAAATTAATAACCAAAAATCACAGTAGAATTTCTCTCTCATTCTTTCACTCTTATGTGGTGCTGTAGGTCTGCCTAATAATTAATTTAGGGATCAGAAAAAATTCCTTCTCTATTACTGCTAGCTGGTCTGAAGTGACATGGAAAAAAGAAGATCTGGAATCCATCTGTGGTAACCCTCTTTGAGTGAAAATGGCATAAGAATGCAAATTTAAGCTGAAAACTAAAGGGGTAGCTCACAGAGACTGATCACAGGTCTACCAAGGCAAGAACTTCTGACTTGGCACCAGATTCCAAACAAATGCTTGGCATATTGCCATTAGCTGTAGTTTACTATGCCCCTCCTTCAGTGGTAAACTAATGAAATTAAGGCCCATCAATTAAATCTCTCTCTGTGGCTCTTGTTCATTCATCTGCATATCCTGTTCAACCCTTTCCTAGGATGTGCAGTTAGCCTGAGTGCTAGCAGGCTCTGAAGCCAAAGACATTAAGCATGAACGTTATGGCTGAGCTTCGCAAACAAAGATTTGGGAAAGGCTCTATCCGCATTTGTTACAAGTGCGCTGGTGGCTAATAAGGCCAATACGAGATAGACATATCCGATTGCAAAAGGTACAGCAGAAAGACTCCTTAGGTGGTAAATTCTGCAAGACACAGTTCTTTCTGCATTGTCTTTTCTTCTCGAGAGTGATCCTGCATTCATTCTCAAAGGAAGCAGCAGCGTTATAGATGGTGTGTCTCCAGGTCTCCCAATTTGATTAATATGGCCAAGGCTGAGATGTTGCTTCAGGGAGTCCTTGTATCTTTTCTTCGGGGCTCCTCTCTTGCAGCAGCCGGTGGCAAGTTCACCATAAAGCAAGATCTTAGGGAGGCGGTGCTCCTTCATCCTTGAGACATGCCCTGCCCAACACAGCTGTGTTCTCAGCAACATGGCCTCAATACTTGTGACTGCTGCTTGTTCTAGAACAGATGTATTGGTCACATAATATGACCAGTGGATGTTTAGGATTGTACGGAGGCAGCATTGATGGAAGAGTTCTAAGATACTCAGGTGGTAGTGGTAGATGACCCATGATTCGGAACCATATTAAAGAGTAGACAGCACTATGGCTTTGTAAACACTGATCTTGGTACTTTTCTTCAAGTGTTTATTACACCATACTCTTTTATGGAGTTTTCCGAAAGCACTATATGCCTTTGCTAACCTGTTGTTTATCTCTTTGTCAATCTTACCATCAGAGGAGATGAGGCTACCTAGGTAATTAAACTGCTGGACTGATTTGAGCTCTGGTTGGCCAATGGTGATATGGAGATGATGGAAGACTTCCTGAGGTGCTGGTTGATAGAGAACTTCTGTCTTCTTTAAGCTGCCTTCCAGCCCAAAGAGCTCAGCAGCATCTGCAAAGCAGGATGTTAAACACTGCAGAGCTGTTTCTGTGTGGGCCACAAGGGCGGC